GGGGGGGTATCGTGTGGGGGGAAGTGTGGTGGCACTGGAAAGGGGCATCGGGGGCCTGTGGGCAGGGGCAAGGGCATGAGTGAAACGGGAGAAGTAGGCATGTGAACTGACCCCCACCCCGCACTGCAGCTTCAAGACAGTGGGATTTGCCTGCTCAGTTACCCCCCAGAAATGGCTTCTGTTTCTGGCTATGAGCTTAGGCGAGGCCCAGGCTTCATCTAGGCTTTATAGGCCTCAGTAGACCAGAAGCTGACACTCTCCTCCATACTGGGGGGAAGGAAATGGAAAGGCCCTGCCCACCCCCTCTCCTCCTCAGGTGCCATCGGGTGCCTTCCCCACCTTGGATGAAGACCCTCCAACCAACCCACGTAGGGAGACTGAGGAAGGCTTGATTGCAGCCATATTGAACGTTGGCCAAGCCAGCCCTGCATGGGTCAGCCATTTTTCAGCTTGGCAGGGATGCCGTCTTGAAAACTGAATCCAGCCACCACCCCCCACCGACCTCCACTCACGCGCACACACACACACACACTTGGGGTGGCCATCTTGAGCATTGGCTCCCTTGGGGTGGCTATCTTGAAAGTGGGCAAATGGGCCCAGTAGACTGCATAGCAAGTGGCCTGGTCTCATGGACCAGTGTAGGCTGGGATGGTGGCCCATCCCGCAAGGCTGTGGCCTTGCCAGCTGGCACAGGTGAGGGGCATGGGTGGCCATGTCAGCCCATGGGTGGGGCAAGATGCTGGCTGTGCCAACAGGCCACGTCAGCTCTTGTCTCTCTGCCTGGTGTATGCTGTGCTCTGTCTTGCTCCCTCTGGCTCACTTCTCTTTCAGCTATTTCTCCCCCTGGCCCTTCTCTCATTCTCAAGCTTTCTCCTCTCTCCTGCTCCCTTTCCTTTTCTCCTTCTCTCCATTTTCCCCTTTCCCTCCCCATCCCCCACTCCTTCAGCCCCAGCAAAGTTGGGGGGCAGATTTCATCGTGTGTGTGTGTGTGTGTGTGTGTGTGTGTACGTGTGTGTGTAAAA